TACTTCTTCCAAGACGGTTTTGTCCGTTCTTCTGGCAGTCCATGGTCTGTTCAATACTGCATCACATAACTAAAGTGCACCCATTCCTGTGTGTCTCCCTTCGCCACTGACCAGTCTCCTTCACATACAGATGAAGTGAATGAAATCCTTTGGCTTGAGTCAGGCACGTTTTAGTCCTCAAAGTGACATCTTTACTTTTAAACACTTTAAAGGTGTATTATAGCAGATTTGTCCAGTGCCAACACATCTTTTGATTTCTTGACTTCTGTGTTCAAAACTATTGACTATGGATCCAAGTAAAACAAAATCCTTGGCAATGTCCGTATCATGAACACAATGATACGTATTGATTCATTTGTGTGTGTGTGTGTGTGTGTGTGTGTGTGTGTGTGGGAGGGGGGTGTAAAAGCGTGCATGAGAGGGACAGCTGGGTCTCACTCGATGCACTGCCATCATTCGAGTAGATCCCGACCCCTTGAAGACAGTAAAACTGTTCCTGTGGATTTCCAAGACTGTAAATCCAAGACAGCCTCATCTTCCTCCCTCTGAGGAGAGGTTGGTGGGTTTGAACCACCAACCTTGTGGTTAGCAGCCCAATGCGTAAACCACAATGCCACCAGGGCTCCATGAGGGTTTGATTACAGGTGGTTCTTTTAGGGTGTTACAGCCTGTACTGGATGGAATCTGTGGGTGAGGTCCTTCCCCCCAAAACCTTCCCCAAAAGATGAGATCAGAGTGGAAAATGTACCCAGAGATGCAACCCCCAAGACTTGTTCCCAGGTGGCGCCCCCAGGCTGATTTTTCCCAGCAAGACAACCAGGCCAAGGTGAGTAAGGCGCACAGCAGGATGTCTAGGAGCAGGGCAGAAGGACTTAACCTCAGCTAGGCTCCAATGTGTGCATGAGGCCCCTAAACACTAGCCGGGCTCACCTCACCTCCTACAGGAAGCCTGCCTGAATTACCAAGCTGAGCCTAGCAGTCACTCAAGAGAGCTGTGCTGACGGATCTGCCCTGTGGGGCCTGACACCACGCACCCAGGGCCCCCCACTGGGCAAGGCCAGTTTTCTACAACTCAACTCAGGGAACCAGGCAGGCCTGTACACTCCTCCCTACAGTGCTACAGAGAGGAAACAGTGCCACCATGGTAGGGACCTGCACATCATCAATGTCACAGCAGGCACCTGCACACCATCACCTCCATGCTGGGTACCTGCGACCATCACTGTCACTGCAGTACACCATCACTGCCTCGATGGGTACCTGCACATCCTTGCTGTCACCACAAATGCCTGCACAGTGGCACTGTCCCAACACGTACCTACAACCGTCACTATCACAGCGGGTACCAATGCCACCGCATGGCGACTATCAATGTCACAACAGGTGCTGACACTTGGGCTCATCCTCAAGCACAAGCCCCGCCCACACCAGGACCTTCCCTCTGCCTGGGCCGCCAGGATTTTGGCCCACCGGTGGCTTTTCAATAGGACGGGCCAGCACTGGGAAGGAAGCCACACTTCTTTCCTAAGATCATCACTTGGCTTTCATGGAGGTCCATCGGTGGCACGCCCATGAAAATCCTACAGGCCAGCCCCTTCCGGTCTCCTCCCCAACCTGTAAGCCAGGCCTGGCCCCGTCCCCCTCTGAGGGGGACCTTACCAGGGGCCAGATGTAAGAGGTGACGCGCTCAACAGTGGTCTTCGCTCCCATGCCCCTGGAGATGAGTATTTAGAGCTGTGGGGGTGCTTGCACATCTCAAGTTGACATCTAAAATTTCTCATCCTGAATCTAAACACTTGCAGAGGATGTAATTTCCAGCATAATGTAAATATTAACATTTTTCAAATGAAACTGTTAGTCTTTCTCTTTTGAATGGACCCAGTGTAATCTAAATACCACCGCCATTTGAGATCCAACATCATCTATTTTTAAATGACATCACCAGGCAGCTGGAAATGAAACAATGTAGCTCTGTCCTCCTGGAACTCCAGTTTCCAGCCCAACTTCCCACTGAAATGTTTGTGCTCCAAGTTTGACAAGGGCTTCTTGATCATTCTATTATGCTGCTGGGCAAAAATATGTAACTGCAGGTAACAAACCTGAACCAAGCCTTGCCATCAATTCTGAGTCACGGTGACTCTGCAGGACCATTGGGTTTCCAAGACTGTCCGTCTTTACAGAGGAGACAGCCACCCCTTTCTGCATGGAGTGGCTGGCAGGTTCAAGCGGCTGGCCTTTCCCTTCGTTAGTTAGCAGCGGAGTGCTTTGACCGCTGTGCCCCCAGGACTCCTTCCCTCTCTCTTGCTGATGCTGGGTGCCGAGCCATCTCTGACTCCCAGCAACCTGACCAGCTGATGCTGCCTGCGCCATCCTCACAATCACTGCCGTGTGTGAGCCCATCCCGTCTCGTGGAGAGATGTTTTGATTTTGTTGTTGTTGTTGTTTAAATTTCACAAGACCTGTATGAAGCTCTGATTGTCCGTTTCTCTTCTGGATGAAATTAGCATTACAATGACTATGAATACAAAATAGATCCACGTAACAGAAAGAGATGAACAGACTTGCCTAATAAGCATGAAAAATTAAAACTAATAGAACTACACCTCTGAAGAGATCCCGGGAATGTTTTAAAAAATACTCACGTAATCACAGATAAGTATTACCTCTTGATAGCCCTGGTGGCGAGTTACATGTTGGGCGGCTGAACAACAAAAAAGGTCAGCAGTTCAAACTCACCAGTCGCTCAGCAGGGTAAAGAAGAGGTTCACTGGTCCCTTGAACGTTTAGTCACAGAAACCCAAGGGAACAGCTCTCCTCTGTCCTGCAGGGTCACTGTGAGTTGGCATGCATGGGGCTTTGGGCTCAATTCTATTTCCATTTTCCAATTGTGATATTCAAATCCTGCAAATAATAGTGTTTGTTGTAATGGCCTGGAGCAAGATGCACAGAGGGACTTTCTTTGAATTCTTTCAGATTTTGAAGGCTAAGAGTCACGGTCCTCTGTAAGTAAAGCCAGCCCCTTAATGATTCAGCGGCTAACTACTGGGACCGGGGTCCTGGTGAACTCTCGCTGCAAGTGGGAAATGTGCCGTGCCCAAGGAGTACAATGACTCGGTGTCACACGCCACCACCCCGTTCCAGTCAGTGGTCCTATAACCAGCTCTCTGTGTGCCAGGCAGTGTGCCAAGCCCGCTTGACGCCAACGAACTAGTCCTCTAGCAATCCCGGGGACAGGCACCCGCTCATCATGTCCCTCCCCTTCACAGGTGGGGAAACTGAGGCACCAGGTAGCAAACAGGAGGTGACTGTCACCCTCTAGGCAGGCGGGAAGAAGAACTGTGTGCTTGGGGCAACTGGCGAGCAGCCTGCCCCTGGCACCCTTGGCCAGGGGACCAGTACATGAGGACTTGGGGACTGGGAACGTGGACTTTCTTGATTACGCTGCCCTCTCAAGTCAGGAGAGTTCGACACAGAGGCATCTCTGAGGGCATCCGCGCCTGCTGCCATTGGGCCTGTTCCGGCTCATGGTGACCCCATGAGTGTTGGGGAGGCCCCATGCTGCAAAGGGTTTCCAATGCTGTGACCTTTGGGAAACAGAGCACCAGGCCTATCTTCCAAGGAGCACTGCTGTCGAGGGCAGCACCTGATCAACAAGGAGCCCTGCCCTGCCTGGCTTTCTTCCTAAGACGTGTGGAAGAGAGCTGCCACACCTGCGGTGTGCTTTTCTACCCTTACCATCAGCTTGCATTCCTGACCTTACGTTCCAACATCCAAGTAGCCCAAACTCAGGTAGGTCATCACAGACCTGTAGGCATGTAGTGACCAGAGCATGCGCTGTCCCGCAGGAGAGCCGGTCTTTGGCCTGGTGGAAAGACCGTGGGTCTTGTCAAGCAGTCAGATCCCAGCCCCACCACCTCCCGTGAGAGTGTCTCCGAAGAGTCACGAAACTGCAAGCCTCAGTTTCCTTGTCCATTAAATGGGCACGAGGCCACCACTCACTTCGTACTGGTGGCTGTATAAAACGGGACATACCCTCCCCCTTGGGTTTGACACAGGAAATGCCTGGGTGGCTAGCAGTACGGCCATTTCCTTATCTCCGGCCCCAAGGGACCCGCCAATGCCAGTGCCAGGGGCCCACCAGCCCAGAAATCTGGCAGGAGAAGCCTGACTCCTTTGCAAAACCTGCCAAGTGACTTGGCTCCTGATGTTTGCAAAGAGCCTTTCTCTACGTCTTAACATGTAACGTTCCACCAAACAAACACTCGGGACGCCAAGGGGAGGAGGGTAGAGATGCGTGGTCGGTTTATTTTTAGATGCCTGGGTAGAACGCATCCAGTTCAGCCTCACATCGGTCCCACGCCCCCCACAGTCTCCGAGAGTCATCACAAAAATGAACAGCAGACACATGGAGAAGCATTTTGTCACTCTTCCTCCGCCTGGACACCCCAACACAATGGCTCTGGCCTCCCATTACACACACAGGCTAAGCAGATTAAAGGTTTTAGATTAAAAAAACCCGCTAGAGCCACCACCACGACCCCCACCCCACCCCTCCACTTAGGGCACTGTGTCTGACAAACCTGCCGTTTCCCTGTTGCCTCTGCATGCAGCAGCTGCTCCCTGGGGCCCAGTGGCTGCCTTAGGGCTGAGGATCTTGGGTCACCAAGAAGTTGGTGTTAGGAGAGGGATGGTTTCCTCATTTCTAGGACTTGAACTCACGTCCTCTAAAGTGGAATCCAACAGGAAGCGCCCTGTGCCCCCTGACGAATGGCTGTAACTCACCCGTGGGAGGCATCCTGATCTTTACTCCCCCACCGACTCACACACACCAACCCCACCTCCCCTAGAAGCAACCCACAGCCTCCCCGCACACTCAGGGAGCCGGGGCTGGAATCTTGGCAAATGCACAAGAGGAACAGGATTCACATGAAGGGACGGCCAGGCACCCAGGGGAAAGGTGGGCACGGGAAGGCCACTCGACCTGAGAGGTCGGTACTCACCTGCACGACCTCCACCCCTCGTTTCCTGTGGAGGAAGACAAAGAGAGAGTTAGCACACATTCTGGACCAAGCACTGTGGCCAGCGGAGTCAGGAGGGTCGAGCAAGCTGGTGCCTGCCCCTCTTACATCCCATTCCCCGCACGGGCCTAGGGTGGGGGTGGGGGGTGGGTTCCTCTGTTGAGGAGAAGGTGCAGAACTCCCAGCTGCCCCTCCAGGCCATTTTTGGGCCCAAAGAGAAGTCGGTTCCCACAGGGACTTGAGTTTGAGTGGAATCCCACAGACCCCCGCCCCGTGTTTGCTCTTCTTCCTCACAGTCAGCCCCCTCCCTCTCCAACCCCGAAGCGAGATCTCCAGGTGTGGTGAAGCTCCAGCCTAGACTTTATCCCGACCCTCTCCCCACGGCCAACCCAATCCTCCCTCCCAGACCTGTCTGAGTCCAGTCACCTCCAAGGATCCTCATTTCTTCCCGAACTGTGGCTGCCACATGACGCCCCAGCCCAGTCAGCCACCCTCTTGGGCAGGACGCCAGTGTCCTTCCGGATCCCCAACCCCTCCCAGTCCTGCCCAGCTGCCTTCCCAACCCTGTAGCCATCTCTGAACACCTCGCTTGTCATTCGGTCCCTAGATTCAATCAACCCAGTGATTCTCAGCCTGAACTTGGCCGCCTCCACCTCTCTCCCTTTAAAAAAGGAGCCGAGGAAGAGCAGGAGGCGAAGGAGGAGCTGCTGAGGCTGCTGGTGCACCACACAGCGCCTCATACTTGGTTCCTTGATTGAGGGTCGTTTAGAAACTTCCAGTACATTGGCCTGATGATGTGCTTATGCTTCTCTTCCACCTCCTAGACCATGGCATAATCCCCGGGGTCCTGCAGGCTGCCATCCAAGGCACAAGTAGGCTCGATTCACCAGGGGCAACAGAAAGGTGGCTGAGAAACAGCAGACAATGGGACGTGTGCTACCTGCCTCCTGTGCCATGGAACCAGGAGAACTAGATGGGGCCCAGCTCCCCTAACAGTATTCTGATCCAAGATTCCACAGATACAGCCTGATGAAAAGCAGGGAAATATAAAACAGAGCATCCAATTCTTATAGACACTCGACCTTGTAGAGCAGGGCTCCTCAAACTTTTTAAACAGGGGGCCAGTTCACTGTCCCGCAGACCCGTTGGAGGGCCGGACTATAGTTTAAAAAAAAAAACTATGAACAAACTCCTATGCACACTGCACATATCTTATTTTGAAGTAAATAAACAAAACAGGGCAAAAACACCCGGTAGGCCACATGTGGCCCGCGGGCCGTAGTTTGAGGACGCCTGTTGTAGAGCCAAGGAGGGTAGACCAAGTCCTCAAACGAGTGGGCTGAGATCATCTTTACACCTTGGATAGTTAGGGTTGATTGTGCCAACCTGGCCAGTAAACACATGTGGGATTAATTGAAGGGCACAGAGATAAATGGCTCAGAGAGCCTCTTCTTTCTAGTTCCCTGGTCTCTTGTTCTCTGATGGTCGGACCAGGGTGCAGCTGCCTTACCTGGCAAGGCTCACTTCCAGCGAGACATCCCTGAGGAGAAGCCACATGGACTTAGCCTGATGGAGCCCTGGGTACTGGAGAAGCCGTGGGGAGACCCCTGCCAGGGCTGAGATGCTTACATCGATTCAAAGACTTTCTACCCACTGGCCTGTGATCCTCCTCCATTTGGTGTCATTTTGTGTGTTTTGTGAGTTTGAGGTGGACTTTGTAAATTGATGTCGGACATATGGGCTAAGTTGGACTTATGGGCTTAGACTGGACTGGGTTGGGATGTTTTCTGAATATACACTTACCCTATATATAAAACTCGTTCTTATACATATATGAGTTTATATACATTTGTTTCTCTAGTTTACCCAGACTAACACACACCTGAAGCTGATCTTAAAACAGAACAATTTAGTTTCACTCGTGCCAGCTTACATCCTTGGGACATGATGCCAGGAGAGAGCAGTCCCTGGGGAAAGATGTCATGCTTGGTAAAGTAGCAGGGCAGCAAAGGAGAGGAGGGCCCTCAAGGAGCTGGATGGACACAGGGGCTGCGGCAGGGAGCTCAGGCACAGGAACAGTTGTGAGGATGGCGCAGGACGGGCAGTGTTTCCTTCGGTTGTGCACGGGGCACTGGGGGTCAGAAGTGACTGGTGGCACCTAACAACATCAGCCCTGAGCAGGGTGCTCTTTTCAGAACGATCCATATGGCATCAAGGGACCAGAGAAACTCAAGAGATTGGGTCGGAACACCAGGGGAGAGGGAGTGTATGTTTAAAGGGGGGCAAGCTCAGAAAAGGAGTGAGAACAGTGGCCCAAGTTGAAGATTATAATCAGTACCACTAAGGAGTATGTGTGGACCCTGGAGCTGCTCTGTCTTGCTGTGTGTATTCTCAACAACAAAATAAAGAAAATCTAAGTGGGTGTGGAAGCAGGTAGGCAACAAACCAAAAAAACCTCAATGCCATCGAGTTGACGCAGACTCACCACAACCCTCTAGGACAGGGTAGAACTGCCCCTGTGAGTTCTGAGACTGTGACTCTTCATGGGAGCAGGAAGCTCAGTCTTTCCCCCTCGGAGCGGGGGTGGTTTCTTCCAACGGCTGGCCTCCTGGACTGCAGCTCGATACAGAGCCAGTACAGCAGTGTTACGCCGCCCAGCGAAGGGAAGGGGACTCCTTTCTACATAGATCGGAGGCACTTGTCAAGTTTCGGCAAGGCAATTCTGAATGATGGTGAAGTCAGCACACCTCGACTGGTACAAGCCACAACACACACACACACACACACACGATTCTGCAACAACAGTAATAACAACCAAAAAGTATGCATGTGGTTACACAGGTAGACACGTATGCTTCGTGTATGTGTAGGCACAACTCCCGAAAAAAACAACCCCATAACCACTGTGTTGATTCCAACTCATCACAGTCCTACAGGGCCAAGTAAAACTTCCCCTTTGGGTTTTTGAGACTTGAAAGCTTTACGGGAACAGCCTCATCTTTCTCCCACAGAGAGACAGGTGGGTTTGATCCACTGACGTTGTAGTTAGCACCTCAATGCCTAACCCTCTATGCCACCCTGAGCTCCTGATGTACAGCTAAGCACACATGAAAGCACTGGCACAACCCTACAGGTGTTTCCGTAGGCAGGTGTGTGCTGCACACACGCAGGGGCATCAAAAAGTTCCTGGAGACATTCCATTATCTTTTCATTCCATTGTCCCACGAACCTCATGAAGCCCCCTCTTATTCAAATAAAGCACATAGGAGCTACTGTCGCTGTGGGCACTTCCTAGACTTAACCCAAACCTCTCGGGTTGGCACCCGCCTCCTCCTGGCTCTGCTGAGAGCTGAGACATCGGGCGTGGGAGTCTGTGAGCAGCAGCTGGCCCGAGGTCACACGGCTCACCCTTCACTGTCACAGTGCCGGCCTAGGGGCCTCCACTAGCCAAGCTCAGCCCCTGTCCGTGCCCCCTAGGGAGGAAGCCCAGACAGCTGAGAGAGAAAACCCAGGCCTGAGACAGAGAGCTGCCTGCTCCTGATCCACAGGCACGCCTCGGCTAATCCTCAGGCATCCAGGTCACCCCCTCCGGCTGGGCGGCTGGCATCTGCTCTGGAAGCCAACTACGGTCACTTCCCAAAGAGGCCCCAGGAAGGGGGGACTGCCGTTGAGTTGATTCTGGCTTACAGTGATCCTGTGGGCTTCTGAGGCCTCAGCTCTTTACAGAGAGTAGAAAGCCCAATCTCTTTCCCACAGTGCAACTGGTGGTTTCAAACTGCTGACATAGTGGTTAGCGGCCCAACAGGTAACCCACTGTGCCACCAGGGCTCCTCTGGCTTGGACAGGTATACTGAAAACCCTAGGTGGGGTTCTGTTGCCGAGTCCTAGGGCAACATAGGAGCAGCCCATGTTGGGGGCTGGTGGGAAAGAAGGGGCTGCCTTTGCCACAGCCCAGAGGCTTCCCAGACAGATGCCTCTATGCCAAGGGGCGGCTGCTCCCAGATGCCTCCCTTGAGCCCACTGTCTTTCAGGAAAGCACCGTGTACCTGGCTCCCTCCGCAGGCCTCAGGAGAAAGGGGTAGCCAGCCTGGTCAGGCAGGCCTGGGAGGAAAACCACACTCCCCTGGTGCTGAAATCCCCGCTGGCTGCTGGAGAGATCGGGAAAGATATCTGTCGGGGCCCATCTGCATCTGAAACTTCTGCAGAACAAAGACACCAAACACCCGGATTTCCCAAAGGGCAGGTTCCCCAAATCCGGCCATAACCAGCGGGTTGAGACAAGGGATCATGAAACAGAAAGAGGGAAGAGGGGAGACCCCGGAGAAGCGACTGTCTAGTGATGGAAAACCCTACCCCGCCACCCCACTTCATCACCCACCCACTCGCTCAGATGAACACTGAGCGTTTCAGGTGGGGAGGTGTGGCTCTCCGCACACACTGTCTGCAACAACCCTCCCCCCACCCCATCTTGAGAAAGAGAGGGGGCCATTCGTTAGCACGGCACAGGGTCTGAGGCGTCATTACTGCTGCTGGGTGTGGTGTGACCCTGTGGGACAGGGTAGAACTGTCCCCTAGGACTCCCTTCCGCTGTGCTTTTGAGAGAGCACATCTCCAGGCCTTTCTGCCACCGCAGCAGATGCGTTCCAACAGCCACCCGTCCACCTAGCCGGTGAGTGCCACTGCTTTGCCAGGGCTCCTCCAAGGGGTGCTACTCAGCCGTGAAACAGGACAGTGCCCCAGGCACCCCTAGGAATGGCTGCCAAGGCACTTGCAGAAATGCATGCTGCCCAACCAAGTCTGCTGTTTGTGTTAAAAACAACCTCCAGAGAGGGCGTGTGCTCCACATGCCCAGAGCCAATCTCCACGGCCCACAAGCCACTGCTCAAGTGCCCAAGGTAGGGCGAATAGTGGGATGAGAAGGAGCTATGCCAGGGGAGGGGAGGGTCCCCCATACTCTCAATCATCTCTTGAATTCTGTCCCATCTGACTGGAACGTATTCTTAGACT